TGATACAGCTAACCGACGACCTTAAACAAGGAAAGAAGATGACGTTCCAGGAGTTAAAACGAGAAGCCGAGAATAGGGACAACTGGAGAGCTCTGTTTGGGCAGAGCAATGGACCTGTCGTAAGACAGAACACTTAATAATAAAATACAGACAAGCACTTTCTCTTGTAGACAGTCATGATGGTCACTTAAGAGCAAAAGCTTTATTAATTATCAGATACCAACCAGGCTAGTCACAATAAAACCCAATCTTAACAGCGGGTATAGGTTAAAACTGACCTGCGATGTAATGCTAAGAACTTAAACAACTGAAAAGTTTCATAACACAAAACACTAAACAATTTTTGTATATAAATTTAGGTAACTGAAACGTGTAGTTATCACAAACTCATTATAGCCATGTCTGTTATGACCGAGTTTTACTTTACATTCACATCCGAGCAAAAATGAAGCTGAATTTTAACCATGTGCTATTTATGAAAAGTGAGAATGCTACTCATGACATTGCCCACATTCCTCATTATGTGAACATCATGTACCATAGTTCAGTTACTTTAAGACTCAAACGGTGGCCAAAGGGCCATCTAATAGTTGGCTGCTTTTATTCTGAAGACCAGAATTTATTTCAATTCAGCCAAGTCATCTTGACAGTGGATTATAACTTCCAATTTATTCTCTAATGTGCAGCAACAATTTGAAGTCCCCAATTACATATTCCTTCCCAGGTGCCTGCAAAGTCCCACAGAGTGCACAGAAAGAATTTTTTGTGTCTATCCCTGAATACATGGAGAGACAGTCTAACAGGATAGCCAACCAATCTATTCTCATGCATGGAAAGGCTTTTCAAGAAGCATGAATTTATTCAGAAACTGAAAGTTTCAGATCCTGTGAAACAGGCATATTAAGACAATAAATGATGTTGAACTGTGCAGATATGTCAGCTTACCTTGCTACTTTATCTTTGGAATGAAAAAGAGCATGCTAATGAACAAAGAGGGGCCTTTTCACACATCTGTGAAGGGATGAGTAAATGAAGACTATGTATCAGGTACTGAGCCTGATCCCAACACCATTCACATTTTGCACAATCTTTATTACGAAAGTATGGAATACTAAACAATTATATGAAAGATGCAGTACTTTTGTTACATACAGCTCTTTTAAAAACAGCTGCGGGGAATAAAGATACACTTACCACTTAGAACAAAACCAATACTTGTGAAAAGGCAAGAATTATCGGCAGGTACAACCATCTTCATAAGTACTCCTGGACACCCCAGTTCACTGTCTATTATGTGATGTCTTGGTTCTTCTAATCTAGCATTCTGCTGTACAGAAAGTACAATATTTTGCTGCTTTTCTTCCACAATAAGTGTATCGCCTGAACTGATTCCTCTTGATTCTAGTGTAGCTTCATTCACTGATAAATCTATAGGTTTAGGAGGATAACCAGACAGCACATACAGGGCATTTTCTTTTATATTTGTAAGACATGAAAGTTTACGTTTCAGCTCGAATATTGTATCTTTTGATGCTAATCCCTTAATCACCATTTGTCCTGATTTGGTCTTCAATTTTAGGGCAAAACCAGCCATATTGCTTTTTTCTGGGTTAGAACGTGAGGTTATACCTTACTGAAGTTTAAAATTTATGGCGAAGATACAAACAATGAAGGCAAAATGTTAAATATGGTGTGTTCGTGGGATCCTATCACTCTATTCTGCAAACTACTTAAAAATAATGACTCGTTTCAACTATTAAACCTGTTCTTCTACTGTTCAGACGCCATTTGTAGCCATGATTGTAATCTTTGTAGTTCCACGATTCCCTGTGGTTTTATACCTCTGGCAGCAGGTGCACCAACATCACATAAAAGGGTACATAGATAACCTCCAAAAGAATTCTTTTAGCAATTATATTGGGCCCACACGAAATAAGGTACAGTTCTTAGGTGTAAGTCCACTTTTACGAGTTTTAACAATTTTGTGGCATCATGGTTGCGCAGTTGATATTATTTTTTTAGTTAGAAATGTATGGACGTTATCCGATGCATGTCGATGTTTGAAACATACTTATGTGATTTAATTGACTGTTTCGATGTAGGCGCATTTCCATATGCTAAGAAAATTAACGTCTGTGGTAATAAAATCTTTAGTGTTCACGGATCAAACACAATCACTGTTCTTGATTGCCTACATCTCGGTTATTTGAATCTTCCACTGACATCACACGATTAGTTAAATTTAGGAGAATTTCCAAACCTTCATACAGTTACAGCTTTAATATCTAATATTGAACAATTTCATAAAAATTCAACGAAACTTAAAAGTACGTGTATCGTGGATTTACGTAACAATTTTATACGTCAAATTCCAAATATTGTTAATGTAGAACAAGTTGATTTCAATAAAGTCAGGTGTGCCAACAGAAATCGTGAGTAATAGTTGGAATAGTATCATCATTCCTAATATATTCTTTGAATTTAATATCTCAACAAATGAATAATACGCTAATTCGAATGTATTTCGAGAAAAAATATCAACACCAAGCTATTTTAATTATACGCGTCGATGGTAATCACAAAAAGGTTACAATATACCAAAGCAAAGTTGCTATTCTAATCCACGAGGTATTACGAAAGTAAACAAAGTTACTTACTAAATGATTTGTGTATAATTGATATATTTAATAAAACTAAAAATGAAACATTTACTTCTACTCGTTATACGAAAACCAAAGTTATGATTACGTATTTACGTAGATATAATGATTCTCCTCAAATTCCTTTTATGGATATGAAGATTACTACTAAGTCAATTGCTTTAAATTATACCAGGTTTAGTACTAAATCATTGGCGAGCTATGAAAAATGTCCTGAGACAACAGAATCTTCAAAACACTCTTCCCACGATGAAAATAAAAAGTCTTTTAATGATTAAAATAATAAATTTAATCCTTACGAGATAAACAATGTGTGGGATATAATGCAACAAGAAATTACGATAAAGGTAATGACAATTTTGGGAAATCTAACCATGATCAAAATTTAATCACCAAGAGTTAAATCGAAACCCTTCTCAAAATCCAATAGTTATGTTTTGAATTATCATACTTTAAAAATACATATTCATTACAACATATTTACCATCATGAATTAAAATATTAAGGGTTCTTTGACATGGATGATTGTATTCAACATAATTTATCAAACGTATTTGTGTCATATTCAACACTGTAATACCCCCCTCTTTAAAATTAAAAATTATCAAAAAATTGTTTAGTTACGTTGTCAATTCCGTCTGCATTCATAATTTTCCGAACATCACACATCTTGATCATTTAGTTTTAAAACAGCATAGAAAAAATCGAAATCCTCACAAGAGGAATTAAACGAATTTGGTGTAAGTTTTAGTGATTTCGATTTGCCTGCATATGGAAATGATATTAACTGCAACCCAATGCAAATACATTCATTGAAGAATGTTGACAAACCTTGGCTATAATTTTATGTATTCTTACTGATTCCTTTGCCACGTTCGTTTTGCAAAAAAAAAAAAAAAATCATTTTTAATTTGCATCTTTCTATAGCAGTTTAAAACAAACAAATATTTTATTCATCATATATAAAGAAGATACAATATGAAAATATATTTGTGTTGATATTAACAAGCACTAAATGTTCTGGGTAAAAGTATTTAATATATTTTAAATGAGAATTATTTACATTTGGAATTAAAATTCAGAACTGAATTATAAAATGTCAGTTAATAAAGTTTTATGCTAAATTCTCGAAACTCATCATTTAACTGCAAAAACTAACAATTAATTTTTTTTTGTATTTTACATTCCTTAAGTTCGTGAATTTAAATATTTTTAAAGTTTATAATAAAATAATATAATGAAGTTTAGCTCGTGGGTTAGAGTGCTGAGCTCTAGATAGATGGAGTCGTATTTGACTAAGAATTCTAATTGTTCGTAAATGTAATTTGTTTATGGGAAGTCATTTCAACTGTTCAGTAACTGAACAAAACACTGTCTTAACACACAGACAGTCCAGAACTGCCAAGAATACGAATCTGTTAACAAAGCCTATAAGATTTTACACTTATTAATCGTAATTATTTCTCGTAAGAATTAAATACAATAATCACATTAGATAAAGTGATTATAAATACATGTAGTTAAGTTCTATTTGGGTCCGACTTCGGAAAAAAAAACAGAACTTTTACCGACTGTGTTAGCTATAAACACGGTGATGGATGTCCTAAACTCTCCTATAAAAGTCATGGAGGATGACTCCCTCGATGATAGTATCAGCTGCATAGAAGACGGCGTTGATGACAGACAAAATGGCTGAGAGCAGTTTCACGTCGTTCAAATGTTCGATTACGGAGAGATTCGCTATGGAGACATGTTGCAAGTCCATCCGCACGCTCCACCATGAATCCACCCCAATAAAACCTACAAAGGCGAAGAGGACTGCGCCAAACAAATTGTATCCAACCTGAGAAAAGAAAAACACGGTACCACCAGCGATTTTAAGGTTATGGTAAAGATGGCGGCATAAATAATAAATAACCACTGCTTGCTCCCAATACAGGCATACCTCGTTTTATTGCGATTCGCAGATATTGCGTTTTTTTAAAAAAATTGAAGGTGTGTGGCAACCCTGCGTCGAGCAAATCTATCGGCGCCATTTTTCCAACAGCACGTTCTCACTTCGTGTCTTTGTGTCACATTTTGATAATTCTCGCATTATTTTTCAGGCATAATTCTATTGCACACTTAATAGACTACAGTGCAGTGTAAACATAACTTTTATACGCACTGGGAAACCAAAAAGTTCGTGTGACTCGCTTTATTGCGGTGGTCTGTAACTGAACACGCAATATATCCGAGGTATGTCTGTACTTTATTCTGAAACTTCAATCACTGCGCAGACTCTCTGTGGTAGCTTCAAACAAAAGAAGATCTACAGTCAGTTTCAAAAGAAAGTGTTTGATAGATGAGAATATTAATATACGATGACTATTATTTAAGGTATCTGAAGGAGGTATGGCCAAGTCGCTGGCTTGCACGTGTTCTCACAGATTGCCAATAGAATTCAGCGCCGTAGGGTCACGATGACCGACCAAATTTCAATTGAAGCCCCATCTCCGAAACGTCGTTTTACGTTTTTTACGTTTTATTACTAGACGATGGATAATATCCAAGTAAATTTTTATTCAATTGACTCTTCACCGTCGTCAAGAAGTTTTAGACCAAATTTCGTTCCATCATCCTTCAAGCCGGTCGCTCGCCTCAAACCAAGACTTGACTTGACGGGAAAGACAAAGTACTTGCCAAGAATCGAACCCGGCCATCCAGCCCATAAGCAAATTCATTACTGAATGTTCTATCCTCGACAGAGTTAAATAATACTAATAATTATAATTATAAAATCTCTGTCCTGCCCTTGGAGTGATGGCATTAATTTCAATAATAATGAGAATAAAGCAAGAAGAATTATAAATTACGAGAGAAAAGGCTAGAGACGAAGCCAAGGGCACCCACAAGATCTGTGGTTGGATGGTTCTTTAGTTGAACGGTTTGCAGTCCGTGTATGGACAGGTTAGCAACTTAAGCAGCACGAAATGAAGGCTAACGCATTCTACTTATTTATTTAGTGTTCTGTCTGACGACAGGTCCATATGAACAGGATCCTTCCATCCTTTTCTCGGACTGGGACCTGTTCATATACGTTCTTGGCAGATGATCCAGAAGTGGTTTGCCATTGCCTTCTTCTGTGTGTGAATGGAGTAATTGTTGGGATGCCACGGAGGAAAACTCCGTGTCGCCTAGACCACGGCCTTGCCCAACACAAGTTATAAATTCGAACCCGAGACCCCAGGATTACAAGGCCAGCGTTCTGACCGCTAGACTATTTACTGTAAATTGGTTTAAGAGATCATTACTTGCATTGAGTCACCTAGCGATTCTGTTAGCCCAGGAACAAGATTGAGGTGAACGGTTGGCTACAGCCTGCGTGCTTTAGTTGTGGAGGACAACACTGCGCACATTGTGAGGGTGATTTGTATACCCCTGCTCATGTCGTTGGTTGCGGAGAAGTTGAATTGAATTGCGAGTTGTTTCGGCATTTTTCACTGATTTGAACGTCCAGTTCCATCTGAAAAAACTGCTTGTGCGTCGATACTGACCAATAATATTGGGGTCTCCTCCCCGATGACGAAGCCCGCAATTAAGAACATCGGGATAAGGACGTAGGCGCCGTAGGTTCCGTACGTGACGGCGGTCCTCGTGGCGTCCGTGAACAGCTGTCCTCCGGAGGAGAATAGCACAAGGCAGGCCACGGCGATCAGCTGCAAGAACAAGGAGGCACGAGGTTTAAAGCTACGCGTTGCGTAGCGGTCTTTAAACTGAAATTATTTGCATAAAAGTTTGGTAGAAATGGAAAGATAATTTATGTTACATTGATTCAGTGCGTCCTCCATAAAATATATTCAAACACAGCATCCTTCCAAATCACCGAAGCATTTTGCCTTTACGTGTTTAATTTGTCCACTACAATTCCGTGAGAACTGAAACACGTTAGAACACAGAGGAGAAACTGATTGGACCAGCATTTGAAAACAAGGAACTGCAGTGAAGCAATTGGCGTCATCTTATGGACGTTACACTTTCGAATTTAGACTTGGACACCCCTTAAAACCTTCGAAGGCTTTTCGTAGGCGTTCCTGAAAAATTTCCGGCAGACGTAGAAATATACCACGACCACTTCCATTTTAATTAATCATACGTAAATAACCCGTCTCTCCACGTTAATTAACCGATGCAATTTACAAGTTGATTTAATCATAAATTTTGAAACATACTATAACACGTCTTTCGTATGTCATATTTAAGTGCAACCACCATGGCCGTCATCCCGCTCCGTGTGACTTCTTCCTCTTCCCAAAGATGAAAATTCAGCTAAAGGGAAGGAGATTTGAGACGATAGAAGAGATTCAGGCAGAATCGCAGATGGTGCTTGACAGGCTGACAAAGAAAGATTTCCAGGGATGCTTCCAGGCTTGGCAGCGGCGCTGGGATCGTTGTGTTCACTTCCAGGGGAACTAATTCGAGGGTGATGGATGAATTTAATACCTGAGGTAAGTGTACGGGTTTTTATGCGCGCAGTCTTGAAACCTTTCGATCGCACCTCGTACACCCAGGTCGGGCGGAAGGATATTTGACGTTATAGGAGAATCGTCATCCTTGCGTCCCCGTCCAAGGACGAACCGTGCCGATGTTAGTACTGAGTGATACGAAGATAAGATCTAGTCTAAGATGGAGAGGATAGTATATAAACAAAGGTAAAAGTCTTTTCGAGAGTCTACGTGCCACTGAGTCACCAGAGGTGTGCTATAGATGAAGGTTGACTCATATAAGTATCTTTCTGAGATAAGCTTATGTTTTGTCTTCAAATAATAGAAATTACAGCAAGTTGCAACCTCTGGGAGGCCTGTAGACGACGCTGGAGGCAACTCCTGAAGTACCGTATGTACCAAAACACAGTCAAACCACTGCGACTCTTAAGATAATCCCAGACTGTAGCAGCTAATGCTAATTTTTTAATTGATTAATTATTTTTTTTATTTGTAGTGTTCTGTCTGAGGACAGGTCCATATGAACAGGATCCTTCCATCCTTTTCTCGGACTGGGACCTGTTCATATACGTTCTTGGCAGATGATCCAGAAGTGGTTTGCCATTGCCTTCTTCTGTGTGTGAATGGAGTAATTGTTGGGATGCCACGGAGGAAACCTCCGTGTTGCCTAGACCACGGCCTTGCCCATCACAAGTTATAAATTCGGGCACCGCCGGGAATCGAACCCGAGACCCCAGGATTACAAGGCCAGCGTTCTAACCGCTAGACCACCAATTGATTAATACCTGCAACATGCACACATAAGCTGTTAAGTATACAAAGATTGCCAATCACTGCATTTGCTTATGATTTTTAGAATTGATACTGTATTAAGAATTTATCGTCCACTATTCTATACAATAGATGACAATACATAAAACAGACGTGCTCTGATTACAAATGTAATTATATATTCTAATTCCAGTTTCCTAAAAAGAAAATTACGTGAATTTTTGGCGTGCTCCGAACGGTCGAGAAGCACTGATATACGAGCACACACGTAAAAGTTACTCGAAACCACTGATATATAAAAATGAAGGTTTTAGCGTACCAGTTGAATGAATTTAAACAGCACAGAGAGCTTCGTATTCCGTTTTAACTGATGTCTAGGAGGAGCGTTGGAGAAGTTTGATCCGCCTTCGGGTATCAGGATGGCCTGGCTGCTTAGGTTGTCGATGGGAGTCACCATAGTTGTTTCAAGAAAGCTGGATTCGTGTAAGGAACATAAAACAGATTCAAAATCAGGAAGACATGCGTTGCTTTGCCTCCGAACGTACACAACAAATATTTATGATAAACCCAGGGTTTGCTGAGTGAATACAAAAACATTTTTATGTCAGCCTCAAACTTGTTTGTTATTGGCCCAACCCACAAACATGAGCTCATGAACACAATAAAAGCATAAAAGATAAAACAAACAATATATAAAATTCAGTATATATTTATTTATTAATTCAGTCTATACACAAACTTAGTTTTTAATGTTGTTTTAACACAAACATGACGCATCTAAACTATAAAAAAAATATATAAAATACATTAATACGGAGTACGTAAATAAACAAGAAAAATGCAAATAAATATATTAGGATATTTATAAAAATAATTTAAATCAATTAAGTAAATTATACTATTAAATAATGTGAAGAAGTGTGACAATTTTCGTCTCGAATATGTCTAAATGATCACAGTCTTAACTTTTTTACGTATTAGAAGATCGTCTTGGCTTTGAAACTTTTAAGAGGGGAATGTGTTTGCCTATCTCTGGGTAATTCGGTTGTACGTCTCTTAATGATAAAAGTTTTCACCCCCAGTTCCTACACAAGAAAGCAGCACATTGTGGGAACACAGAACAATGATATTTATATCCTTTTATGCATTAATAAATACTGAAGTGAACAAACAGATCAATTTATTTTCATTGTGTTAATTTAAGTTTATTTTGCTGAAGACATCTCGACGGTTATATGATTAAATGGTTTGTTCAAATGAAGAGTTCAAGGTAGTAATTGAATAGTATCGACTGGAAGGATAATAATGAATCGTGAATTTTAAAAAAAAAATGCGAATTGAATTGTTAGTGGAACGATTTAAGGTTAACAATTCTACCGCAAGAGTTCAGCACAAAAGAAGGACGAAATAGACGCCATTAGACTACGAATATTCCATTTTGTTTCTGTCCTGTGCGTGTATTTGACTGTCAAAACATGGTTAGAAAATTTCTTCGCTCTAATACCGAAAGCCTTTGGGACAGAAAGAATCGCTTTTGTCCTCAACAATGAAACTGATAAGACATCAAATTATATTTTCATTACAAGAATTTGGAGTGGTGTAGAGACAAAAGGTTTGACTTCGTTACAACATTCATGATATCAGTACCCTGTAATGTTTGACTTAACGTGCTAAATAAAAGTAAATAAATTGTAAAATAACTTACAAATTAGAATATATGAGTGTATTAAAGTAAGTGGAGCTGTTTCACATTTGTGGGCGCTGGCTAATATCTACAGAAGGTCGTTCTTGCAATGTAGGAGAGCCCATCACTAAAATTTAAGTCACAGAAGGATTCTTACCTGTCTTTTCCAGAAGTAAAACACTTGGTTCTTCCGCTTGTTGCCTTACTGATTAACAAAAATGTTGTACACTGACGTACTTCCAAGTTTGTAACAAGTACGTTCAGATTCATTGCATTTCGTCTCTTATCTTATCTCCTGCAAACATTTATCTCAGTTCCTCGGATAAATATCATGTGACGCGAAGACCTTAACTCTTGAAACTGTAGCAACAGATAATATTAACAAAGTGTCAATTTCAAAACAGAACAAATGAATTTTCCTGTTAGAAGAAACAGCGTAGTAGAGCTCCGCTAAAAAAATTCAATACCAACATCATTTCTGATACTGCTGCCACCAAACGTTACGATTATGAAACAGAAATTAGAGAACAAAAGACGAAATAATTCCGCTTCGTGACTGCGACAAAATCTCTAAAACAACGGTTATCAAACTCTCTGACATTAACCTCCACCCCAAGCTTTGGTTTTCACATTAAACGTAATTTTTCTTAAGTTTTAGAGCAAAGAACACTTTCTCGTCGGCGAAGTATTTTATCGATGGTCAGAGCGTTTCAGGCATCCACTCGCAAACAATGGCCACATGACGCCCATCTCTAATTAAACCTTCGCCGTATAGTCTGTCAGAAGTTTACCGACGTTTCATCGCCTTGATGACGGAGGCAGTGAGGACCTCTGAAACGTCGGTAAACTTCTGATAGACTACTATACGGCGCAACAACCCAGAAGACAGAAATCTTCAGACTCACCGCTGTCATAACCTCAAATCGAACCCAATCAGAATTTTACCAGTGACATCCAAATCTGTTAGATCGCTTATAGACGCATCCAGGTACCTAGGTTTCTAAGGGGCTCCGGTCCGCTCGTAAAAATTGATAACTTGTTCGTACCGTCGCGTCCCTCAGCCGCCATCTCAAGTTTCCGTGGAAACAAAAGGTCCTTTTGTTGACCGGAGACACTGCAGTTGTCTTCACCCTGACACAGCACGACGAAGCCCCAGTTGGAATAAGCAACCACCCCTTTTCAGTTGTCAGCCCTCTGTTTACCATTTCCAGCAATGCATTTCGTACGCAGAAATGGTGTCACGTGACGATGTCTTGCGCCTGCGCAAGGACTCTGGGCTTAGTTAGATTTTTAGTTGGGTTGGAGCTCAAAAGTCGAAGTGATGACAATCCATCTAAGGCAACGTTTCTAAACCTATGGTACCCTAGAAAATGTTGAGTTGTACGCGAATTAAGTAACAAAATGGAAAGATAATATTAACATAAATAAGTTTTCTCTGAACGAAATTTGGTTAGTGGTAAAATTGACGTGTTAAATTAGAATTAGTGGTTATTTTTATTATTCATTCAGTGTTCTGTCTGACGACAGGTCCATATGAACAGGATCCTTCCATCCTTTTCTCGGACTGGGACCTGTTCATATACGTTCTTGGCAGATGATCCAGAAGTGGTTTGCCATTGCCTTCTTCTGTGTGTGAATGGAGTAATTGTTGGGATGCCACGGAGGAAAACTCCGTGTTGCCTAGACCACGGCCTTGCCCAACACAAGTTGTAAATTCGAACCCGAGACCCCAGGATTACAAGGCCAGCGTTCTAACCGATAGACCACCGTGGCTCGTAATTAGTGGTAAGCCAGCAAAAAAGGGTGGGGATTTTTATTCTATGGCAAAACATTATATATACAGCATTCGTCACCAAGAAAGGATGGCAAGAATTTTCGGGATGTGAGGATTAGGAAAACTGGGGTCGCTGTTAAGGTTAATCTGAACTAAGTTGTCCGCTCCGTCACTGAGCATAAAATATATAACAACACAAAAATAGTACCGGGGGAAATGTTTTTGGATTTTGTTACGATCTTCGTGGATTTTTTGGCGAAGTCGTGATTTGTCAGTTCTTTACGCGTGCGTGATAGAACTGAGGTAAGGAAAGGAGACGGCGGACATTTTGAAAGACGCAAAGCATTGAGTGGGTGAGAGCAAACACTTAACTTTATATTTGACCGTAGATTCAAGCACATGGTTCGGCCTTATACAGGGTGATATAAAAGTATTGCAATGTTCATTTGCGGTCGTAATTTTCTTGGATTAACCAACAGACGACATCGCCGTGACTTCAGAGGAGCCCACGAGGGCCACACGTCGTCATATTGAAACTTCGTCACACCAAAAGGTACTCTTGAAGGTTTAGATAAAGTTTTCTTCAGTGACGAAGCATGGTTTTACCTAAGCGGACACTTTAATAGACAGAACTTTAGAATACGGAGATATACAGCATTTTTGACAGAACGAGCTCAAAACAGCAGCTGGTAAAATAATATTGGCTGCTGCTTATAGTGCATTTGGCAGATCTGACACCGTTTTCGACTTCATTCGTTGTCCTACGCTCTGAAAAAAAATAACACAGAATTTATGGAGGCGAATCTGATCTACGTCTTCAGAAAGTTTGGCAGGATTTGACAAATTGGGGAACACGATTTGATTCAATTAGAAATAAAAATTTCTATACCAGTGCACCGACATTTTAAGAATGATGATGGAACTTGGCGTCAGGATATAAAAAAATGGGTTGATAATTAGTTATGAGTGACGTTTTGGACCTCCAAATCTCACTTAGTCCCTGATATAGACAGAGCGAGGTCTCTAGACAGGTCAGCCGTGCGTTGTGGGTCAGCACGACTCGGCTTGGCTTAAGTCTGCGCTCCGTAAATTGGAACTGAAAATAATTTCAGGTGAATTCCTAGAAAACTGTCTCAACTTCATGTATCTTCATCTTCGTCTATGCTCTTATTAGGCCAAAGACTTCAGAGGAACTTCAGACATTTCAGTTTCCGTGCAAACTGGTTTCTGGGGCAGGCTCCAGAATTTCTGATCGTGCCCAAAATTGTGGGCATCGGCCAGAGTCTCTGGTAATCTTTGATGGAGTGTTTCCGGCAGGAACAGTGCTGCCGCCATCCCAGTGGCGGATACAATGCCAATTATTATGTACGGGTATCGGACATCGTACGTGCTGCCCTGGAAATAACACAGAAGCATTAATCCGATCACGTCCTCTGGAAAAAGGGGTCTCACCCTCTGAAAATGTTGCTTTGCTCTGTATTATAACAGCAACATTAAAACATTATTTAATTTGTAGTCTGTATATCCATTAATGTTGGGGGATATTTTGTGCCAAATTCATAGATCGTTTTAGGAATATGAAACGCGAAGGGATATTGTTTTTAAACGAGAAACATCGTTCATAGCGTGGAGAAGTTTAAAAGCCAAACAATTGACCTTTAAATTGCTTAATCAAAGTAGGCTGAGATTAGCGTGTCGTCAGCTAACTGATAAACACTGCATCTGAAATAAATGACATCCTGAACGAAGGACACAGAGTTATTGCCTTATATATATAATAACTTCATTATATATGCAGCAGCTGTTGCCTGAAATCTCTCGTTACGTCTGAAATCAGCGGGAAATTCGGACCGTACGCGAACAGACCTCGACCTGACGCAGCTGAAACAAGGTTAGGGAGTTAAATGGGGGATGAAAGGGGGTGTTATCATTGTCAAATCGAGGTTCCACTTAGGGCTGCTCGTCCCGAGAAACTCCAGATTCGGCGCCAGTGAGTAAATCTCCGTGTACCACCGCCATCTTCACGCTCAAGATGTCGCTGCGTCCGTCAGGCCTGAAAGTTGTTAAATTACGAATTTTTGGACGAGGATGTTTAAAGGATTTGGGAAGATTTTCAGAGCAATGTAAAATGCCGACTGTCTCTGGCTCTGACTGGGTTACGTATCCGCTGAATTGTCTTCATAAGCGAGGATTCGCTCTGATACCACCACGCGACATCAGACTAACTCTTTTTCGCGTAACTACTGACAGAGGTGAAAATATAATCCAAATACAACGCGGTTCTGGGGCGGATATTGAGACCACAGGAGTAGAAACATTTATCTGGAAAAAAAACAAAAGTAATCTCGTGACTAGTTGGGGGCTATTGCGAATTTTGAGCTGGTTGCTAGGGACTCGCTCAAAGATTCCTCTTGTGTTCTACTCACAAGGAAGACGATGTAGGGTCCGAGGATCCCCATGCTACTCCCCATCACTGCCCCCAGCGACGTTCCCGTCTGCCGAACGCACGTAGGATACGTTTCCACGGCAACCAGATGCACCACGTAGTACGTGATCGTGAAGCAGAATTTGACGAACGCCACCATGGCGGTCGTCAGCCAAACCAGGTCGGGTCCTGCAAGGATTATATCACAGCGCCTAATGAAACATAAGATGGCTTGTAAATGAAAGGACAGAACAGTTCTCCTGTGTCACTTAAAATTGTTATGGAATTAAAGGTAATAATAATGAGACCTCAAATGGGATGACTGAAGAGATTTGTCGTAAATTAACTTGAGGCATTGGAGTTTAATCGGGAAATTCGATGCAAAAACAGGCCAATGTCGTCTGAAGTGCTTAATATTAATGAATTTGTTCAGTGATTCACTATAAAAAAAGGGCATAGATTTTTACGTCCAGATGTTAATCCTTTGAAGCACAAAGTTCATCCGAGTAGCATCTGGTAATTCAATTTCAACTATTGCACAGATCAATCGGCCAAGTCGCGATGGTATTTGGGTTTGTGATGCTGATGCTTATAAATGGTTTGAAGATGGCCAGGAAATGTAAAAGTCGAGGAAGGAACTGTACTTCCGAAAACTCACCGGACACATGAAAATACGTAAAATTGCGGATATTGGTTCGTTCTGAGAGTCGAATATTGTTACTTGGAAATACAGGCAAGGATACGTCGGGCTGTCCTTCGGAGAAGGCTTGCATCTAGCATTATGACAAATCCCCTGCTCACGACGAACTCGCTGTCCGGAAGTTTTTGGCCAAAAAAATCTATATTGAAAATGGATCACCCACCAAATTCGAAACATTTGGCCCCTAGAAATGAACACAGCATTGAAGGGCATTCAGGGACATGCAACAACCATCCTGAAGACGATTCCAGAAGATGAGTTCCAAAAACGTTTTGAGCAGAAAAACGCCAACTCACAAAGTGTTCTAGTGCGCAAGGAGACTCCTTCGAAGGTCACAGCATCCATTCGGATCATATTTTACGAGAGTATTCCGGGAACTCAACAGTGGAGGTACTTACGTCCGACAATGCAGATCACGACGACGACGGACAGAACGAGGAAGAGGAAGAGGGCGCCCTGGGTCCATCGCCGTCCGTAGCGATCGGAAAAATACTTCCCCACGACGTAACCCGGAAGCTCCACCAGAGATTGCCAGAAGAAGTTCATAAACGGGTTGCCGTCCATACTGCTGACGTTCAGCATCAGGGTATAGTACGTCATGGAGTTCACCACCCTGCGGACAAGTTCCTCTTACTGTACATGACAACGCAATTTGAAGTAATTTTGCTGCTCTTTGTGCGAGTAGCCTCTGACGGACGCGTCACATCGTAAATTTTTGGCCAGACGTCAATAATTCCACACATCAACACAGACGCGTCCGCCCAAGGCCTTAGCCCCTTGTTCCTCTGAGTGTCCGACCTCTCATGACACACACAATAAAAACTTAAGACAATGCAAAAATTTCGATATAAATAAAAAGGAGATTTATTTAATTGCAATATCTTTCATTTTACACGTTTGAAACGTCACACATGACAGTTCAGTTGATGAATTCGTTTATTTCTGTGGAACCCGAAGGCTGATTACCGTGACCACGAAACACCCAGCGCTATCCGTCGATCTCGATCTATTTTCTCAAGATTTCTTGCCATCGTTTGTCTGAATGGGCCCTCGACTTTAGAGTCAGTAACCAAAATTTCGTACGCATTTCTCACCTGCCAACAGCGGAGGCATCCATGCGTAAGATCAATTGAAAATCCAAGGCAGATGAACTCACCACAGATAGACGATGAGTGTCGTGTTCTTCGCGAGCCTCCAGTTGGAAAAAAGACTCGCCAGGCCGTAAATCCGTTCTTTCTTTGCCGCGATTTTCCTCAGCGTCAACATCGTATCGTTAGGGAGGGAGGATCCATTGGTCTTCGCGATGTTTCTCAACTCCCTGGCACATCTCGTCGTTTCTCCTCTCGCGGCTAGCCACCTCGCGGACTCGGGGAACCACCTAAGAGCACGGAGTGAACAGCGGTTACCTAATCTCTGTAGCGTTTGCGAAGATGGCCGCCTTCTGGGTTGTTGAGCTGCTGATAGTAGAGGCAGCAATGACCTCTGAAACGTCGGTAAACTTCTAGCACACTGCACGGCGCAATAACCCAGAAGGCGGCCATCTTAAGTGGCTACTTCTTTCCGTGGTCAGGGGTTTTTATTGACAGGATCGTGTAAGAGATTAAATTTTAGCTTTCGGAACGAAATATCTAAAGTTTGTTGACAGATCTGGCTTATGGGATGGTTGAGAAATTTGAGCCAAGACACGTATTTGCGACATTTAGGCAGTTCGACGGAAGTTACCCAACAGAATTCCTCGAGTGACACCCAACCTGTTCGCCGTAAACATTTAATGTGGGCGAATCGTAGCTCAGAATTCAAAATTTCTATCATGAAAATGGAACAGTGCAGAGGGAAGGATGTTCTGTGGTCATGGACATCTTCAACTTCGGGCAGACCGTCGGGGCAGTAAGATTTCAAACTGTCTCGCAAAGAATTTCACTTCTCTCCCCTAGCTACGTAAAGTAAGTAACAGATCACTTATTCTGTCTCATTACTGACTTGTAAGCAAAGAGGAAAACTCCGCAAGGCGCTGACGTAATGATGAGAAATGCGACCCAGTCTCTAGTTGCCCAGGCGACCAAAGGCATGAGACACACGCCGAGCGTCCAACCCAGGCACTGCAGCATAGCAATGTGGGCCCTCTTGTCCGCAGAAGACATCTCCGTGCCTGTGACGTGAAAGATAAATTACTAGTCACACTGGGCAGAGTGTGATTCAGTTTCGAGTATCTTCGTGTCCTACCTAGTACAAGGGGACTCTGGAAGGCGGCCGACTGAGACACGCTGCCGAACACAGTGACGGTGAGGAAAAGGGGGTAGTTGCTGGCAGTGAACACGGTCAGGCATCGACCCACTGCCAGCAGGAACAGAGTCACGAAGAACACAGGCCGGCGGCCGATCCTGAAACACGGGACAGACTTTTCATTAAACTCTGAAGCCAACTATAAAATTATTGTGATAATAACAACGCTTTCAGTTGTTTCATTTATAATTGAAGCTGTGTTCACCCAACAAGTGGGATCTATGGGAGATAGGAGTTGAAGGAGACTGGATTTTGTTGGCCCAGGACAGGGTCCGGTGGAGGGCTTTGGTTAGTTCGGTGATGAACCTTCGGGTTCCGTAAGCCCTCTGGTTGGTTGGGTCCACTATTTGGGAAGCCTGAGGGGAAGAGACCTCTGGGGAGACCTAGACGTAGATGGGAGGATAATCTCAGGCGGGATCTATGGGAGATAGGAGTCGAAGGAGACTGGATTTTGTTGGCCCAAGACAGGGACGGTGGAGGGCTTTGGTTAATTCGGTGATGAACCTTCGGGTTCCGTAAGCCATCTGGTTGGTTAGCCTTACACTATTGAGCCATTTTGACTGAAAAATTTTATTTCCAGTCTCTAACATCCAAATTTTTAATAATTTATGTTTAAGGTCTTACTCCGCCAAACACGAGATAAATTTTCTTATTTTTCAAATTTACTGTATCGTCTCGATTTTGAAGTGCCTTCTTTCTGATATGTTATCCCATTTCTTGGCTTGTGTGTACAGCAATTTCTGTATCCCTCCTTAATCAAATTCCGCTTCACTTCACAATAAATTAATTACAAAAGGCATCGTCTCTACTGAATTTACCAAAATATTCTGTCTCATTAAGTAGTTGCATCGTCCCTTATTAATTTTACATTCCCTGTAGATATTCATTCTTTTGATACACGCTAACTCTGATTTTATCTTTTTCCAATCTTCCCCCCCCCCCCAAAGCTCAAAATTTAAATTGTTCATTTACAATTCATAACAATTTAATAGTTTAGTACGGATTTTTAGTTAAGTCTGATTGCAATTTCATAAATTATTCGTCTCTCATAAACCTCTAAGCGATATCTGGTAAAAATCATGTCAAGCCTTGAGTGAGTACATTGATCTCATTCTACATTAATCATAATATTCTGAGAGATATTCTACGTAAAATAAAAAGTCTAACAATTTAAAATTGTACACTTAAGCTACTTTACTCTATGATAAGAGCAATCAGCAAATAGTGAGACGCTGTATTACGAGATAAAGGAGAGACGTTTGTCATTTTTCAATCCGGTCCACTCAAGTATAAACCAGTAGTTGAATAAACGTGAACATGTATTTGTCCTTACCTAAGGAACTGTGAGAGAAAAACACCAAGACAAAGTTCAAAATCCGTCTCTGTAGCAAGTGTCTACGTGTAACCTTAGATAAAATAGTCACATGTGCGCTGGAACTTCGCTGGGACCTTCCACATTAAAGCTCATTTTACTAGAAGTCTCTTTAAGTCCCATAGAACACACTTACTTAGTGTTAATTAAAAACGTTACTTCGCGACATGAGTCTGACATTACTTTGTGATCTAAATTATTTAAATAATTTATTTATTACTACTGAATATTTATAAAAAAAAATTCTCTCTAAAATTATGGCGTGTAACAGAATACAAATCTATCAACAAATTCTCATTTTTGCGTTAATTAAATATTTAGAAATAAAATGTATTTGACTTCGCCATTTCATGGAGACACGTGAAAGGTAAAAATGTTTGTACGTGGGTGTGAACTGGATTACGTAAATCACTAAAATAATCGTTCATTATTAATAATACTACTACGAACACTGCTAATGTTTATTAATGAATCAAATTGCTACTATAAAAAAATCAAAGAAAACATACAGGCCTTTGCTATGTTAAAACGAGCATATTTCGTGGGAATTAAGAGAAACTGATTAGTCAACACATGCCCTAACTCCTTGAAAGTTACACGCTGATTATGAAATTGCAACAGAAATTATCCCAAGAAAAGATCCCATACCATAACATCTTAGTGAGGAGCCTAACATTATGTACCAATATGGTCTAGGCAACACGGAGTTTTCCTCCGTGGCATCCCAATAATTACTCCATTCACACGCAGAAGAAGGCAATGGCAAACCACTTCTGGATCATCTGCCAAGAACGTATATGAACAGGTCCCAGTCCGAGAAAAGGATGGAAGGATCCTGTTCATATGGACCTGTCGTCACACAGAACACTAAATAATATAAATAAAAGAGTTAAGACTTTATCTGAAGAATGTACTCCGGGGTGCAGCACTACAGAATCCCAGGAGCTGCTGTGACCCTCAGGGACAGACGACCCGCCCTACACTACGACGTCAACATAAAATAATGAAAATAGTGACTCAAAAGGAACGCACGCGTCGCCCAGCTGTCCGAACACGAACGTTCCTATGACGTCACCCGCTCTGCTGAACACGAAAGTGTTCGTGACGTAGAGTTCCTTGTCGCATACCCAGTTCTCTTGAGTGACCACCGTCCTGGTGTACCACGTGTGATCGTAGACCCAACCGTTCTGACAACCTGGCGACAAAACACAAAGATCATTCTAAGGCTCTGGGCTCAATGTCTGATTAACAGGTTCAGTGCCTGAGGAAGACTACGAAGAGGGCTCTCGAAACGCTGAATACAGATTTATTTAACGATAGTGTGATTTGTGAACGACGATCAAATCGTAGACCTTGGAATACACAAGTACACACAATTTTAAAAAAAGAATTTTGATTGGAAAATCTGAAGATTAGAGGCTGTGCGTTTGCGGAGTGGATTAATCTGGCTCAGGATAGGGTCTAATGATCCCTTCGTGTGAACATTCAGATTCCATAAAACGTAGTAAATATCTTGACTAACTGAGCTACTATCAGTATTTCAATAAGTCTGTGCTGTATTTAAGTTATCCAGGCCTCGTGGTTATAATGTTTTTGGTGTGAATTTATCGTCAGACCGAATTATTAATCGAAATTCTGTCGGCTTCATTGTACAAACGTTGTGGGATACTCAACAAAAACAAGTATAAGTTTAATTGTACTGAGGGACTTTCTTGGATTTGCCGCAAAGTAACTCCGAGCGTCAGATACGTCGCAGTACGAGGTGAAGGGAAGATTGACAGCAATGAGTCTGTCTGAGCATGCGCGGTGAGACTGAAAACAGTTTCCTTTTCTAATTACTACCCCGACATTTACAGATGGGTATCTGTGACGGTGAACGATGCTCGGAGATATTTTGCGCCCGCGTTACCCCGTAAATACTATTTCCTAATGTCTGTGTTAAAATTGTGTTAACTCGTACTCACCTACGATCTGAAGCCTTGTGCTATTATTGTTCATTGACTGCAAACTTGCTGTTGTGTTCAGTTGCGTGCTTACGTTGTACATTTGGCATTTGCTGTACGACTCTTTGCCACTCTCATCTGTTACCCTTGAAAGTTTACATGACATTAAGTCAGGCAAAACACAAAATCAACATTAAATTGTCTTCAAAGACTTTTACACGTGAATTCAAAACAGAAACGTTAAATGGATTCAGAGATTTCGAGATAAATGCCTCAAACATGTTACAGAATATCTGTTTCGACATATTTTCGAACAAGCGAAGCATTTTGACCCACATTCGGCGACCTTTAAAACAGCCCGGAAGTCAAAAAATGCATTTAAACTTTAATTTTGCCCGTTGTCTTGTATGGTTATGAAACACGGTCTCTTACTTTCAAGGAAGAACGTAGATTACATTTGTTTGAAAATAAAGGCGCTCAGGAGGATATTTGGACCTGAGAGAGATGACATAAATAGGGAATTTGGAATATTAACATAACGAATCGTAAACATAGCACATTGAGGATAGTTAAATGTAACAAAGCTCCGATGGGCTGGACATATAGCACGCATGGGGGAGAGGCTAAGGGGTGCACACAGGATTTTGGTAGGGAATTATTCTGGAAAATGACCACTGGGCAGTCCAGGAAGAAGATGGAAGGCTACTCAGCATAAAGACACTGTCTTATGTCTCTTCCGTCGTCATTTGAACAGATGTAATCTGGGGGTTCATTTACCGCCCTCATCAAATACAATTTGATGAACGACTGGAGAATAAGATGGGTGGGGATTGTAGCACGCATGGAATGAATTAGTAATTCATTCAAAACGCCGATCTGAATACACAGAAGGAAGACACCATTTGAGAGACCTAGGCATAGACTGGAGGATGTTATCAAGATGGCTCTTGTGGAAACTGGATGTTAAGTTCTTTAGACTGGAGGATGTTATCAAGATGGCTTTTGTGGAAAATGGATGTTAAGTTCTCGACTGAATTCAACCGGCTTACGATAAGAGTTCTGTGACGATATCTCGAAGCATCTGCGTCAGTAGAAGCTTCGAGGGATATCTCGACTAGCTAGCAAGTTATCAGGTTCTCAGGGATTGGGTTTTATGAAGCTCGTTCTGGGCCTATCGTTGAGCTGGAGTGCTCTTAGATGATTGTAGAGTCACTTGTGGAATGATGGCTGACAAGGTGTTAACTAATGGCTCACCGAATGGTCCTGGGGCCGAGTCCCGCGTATAGGAGTTCGAGGACGGTCCAGAGCAAACGTTTGTTTAAATTCCCTGTTTCTACACCCGATTAGCGTATTATGTTAAATCGCTGCAATGACATTTATTGCATAAACAGATCATTTGTTCAGGAAAAGTAATCTTTCTTCGTGGGCCTGTCTATTGCATCTAAAAAGAGCACGGAATTATGAACTTCGATAAGGATATTTGTATAAATTACTTACTAATTACACTGAATGTGTTCATATAAGGGAAAAAATAGCATACACCTAAGAGGGAAAACGATATGTTTCAAATTAAGTGGGTGGCAGTTATCTAACGTTAGATTCAGGATGACGTAAAAGATCAGAAGATAAGTTTGGGAAACAGCTGAGTGCCGGGTTCGTGTGAATGGAGTCGTTCATGTGAAACTGGTGGTCGCGATCTGGTTAAGAAATTTCATCGCCTTGTATGTAACAGAGTCTTTAGTACCATATTCGAAAGATTCCGCAAATGGATTCTATCGTGATCCAATACAAAGTCTCATTTGTTTCCTTCCTGTCTACTAGTGACCTCTTCGATTCGTGATTTCCGATTGAAGTAATGTCAGTCGACCAATTATAATTCCCACTTTTGACTGAAACAGCGTATGAAAAATACTTCGTCTTTCAGAAAATACTGTCAGAAACAGAATTTTGTTTCCACGAGGAAAATTATCTCGACATCTGTTACCTGAGTAAAAAAACACATAAACTGTAGGACATTCTCACCTGGGTATCGTAAGACTTTTCCATTCCTCTTCTGTGAAATTAGTTTCATTCCTTCCGGGAACATGACACCAGTGCTCGGGTGTTGTCAAAGCCAACACCAAATTAAGATACGGCATTGCCAGGAATATAACAAATACAAAATTAAACACGAAATTAAACCTCGATTGATATTTACCGTTTAAACCTACATGATTCATAAGTCGGTCAAACAGGGCGTCTCTGTCCACTTCCCCCGACCCAGTGAGGAAGGACAACCGACTAGAATTGTCTACCATCGTGATGACGCTCTGAGTTCGCGGCTATCTGCTCATATCTCCGGATGTCTGGCCCTTGCTTTAGCGACAGAAGAGTCTTGGTGGCACTTCGAAGCTCATCGCATCACCACTACCACGACGGACACAGATAAATGCTCAGTAAATATTTCAAAAAACCTCACGGTAGGAGAAGATAAGCTTCTGGTACGATGTCCTCGGTTGGCACACGATTTCAAGCTTCTCGGAAAGCGTCTATCTCTTTTATAGACCCCCCACTGTAAACTGTTTCGAGCTGATAACAACACACGTACGCTATCTCATGCTGATTAAGTTAAGTTCCATGTTCCGTAAAATACTTGTGATTCTGTGAGACTGAATAACGAATCAGCATAAGGCACTTACAACCCAGGACTTCAGGAGATGCTGGCTTAAACCTCTGGAGAGATGGACGTCTTTGGGAGTTACTTTCGGAGTTTCGGGTAAATATTTCTGAACAAGTGCAAGTCGATTGACTACGAAACCAAGTGCGGAAACCTCCTTGAGGACATACGTAATAATTTTACAAAACCCGACTTTTCGTAACATTTTTTATAGGACACCGAAATTGGATTCTGAGCTGAGCCAGTCTTCATCCTTCAACCCTACTTTTGAACAATAATTTTAATATCCTACCATCCACGCCTGGGTCCTCCAAGTGGACTTTCAGTCTGTATTTTAGAGGCCATGTTAGGCGGGTAACTAGTTGATCTCTGTGTTTAAAACAGTGGAAATTTCTTTTCTGGAAGTGTGAATGAGATTTCTCTTTAGTAATACGGTATTATTTATTTTTAAAATAATTAGAATGCCATTTTTAAATTTGATAGTAAGTGTTGCAAGTATTGGATTGTGAAACTTCACATCGCTGTGTTTGTAGCAGATTAAATCTGTCTAGTCATGTGTTTTTCGCTATTCTGACCGGGTATTTAATGACGACAAATTTGCTGAAACTGTTCTCTTATCCCCAGGTTTGGCAACTTGAAATCAATCGCTGAATAGCGATGTTCAAGCGTCTGGCAGCTTCGAATATTTGCACAATCTGAACAAGAGGACAATTTCATGATTATCTTTGTGTACAATGTCGATATTTGTCAGCGTTACGTCTGGGAAGGCTTGAGGTTTCACGTTTTGGATCAATTAGACTCTGGGCTGTGCATCAACAAATCCAAAGTTCGGTTTCTGACGCCGTGAACGAAACTTCATCGCGATATCGAATCGAATGGGGGTCTAATGTTTGACTTTTAAGTCTTTTTAATTTTTCGACGAAGATGTACCTGGAATATCTCTGGACCTGGTTGTGAGCATGACGCACTGAAACATACGAATCACAATTTTTGCAACAAATAACGCTTGTTATGCAAAAGAATATTAAAGCCGGACGCATTAATCCAGTTCAATGTTTGCGATCCTGAGTCACGTTTTAGTAAATCAGGTTCTTCTTCATTTCACCGCCATTTCTCCTTTGTATGAGGATGAAGAGTCGAAAACTATTTGACCCTAATTTTGTGGTAAACACTTTAAAACTATCGCTTTGTATTCTGAAGATCTCCGATAAAAAATACTGGGGCTGGAAGTCGTCTATACGAGTACAATAAAATAGGCCACGGCAGCTCCCTTCAACTCTCTTTCCAACATATCATTGACAAATATCTGTCCCTGTCCAACAGCGCGCAGACAATTATAAATGTCAGGAAACAGGACACAATCAGGGCGATGATGGAGGCAGCAGGGACCTCTGAAATGTCGGTAAACGTCTACCAGAATACATGGTTCTGTAAACCAGAAGACGAGATACAAAGATTGCAATTGATGATGATGACTTTAAAGTTGAAATTTTAAAATGTGAGAGACATAAAAAGTATCAAAGCTGGCGATGAGTCATTAATTCTAAATCTGAATCAGTGGAAAGAACTTAATAAAAATTGTGAGAAGATTCCTAACGCAATATTATATAAAATTCGTTTTGAAGATTAAGGAGAAAGTACTGGGATGTTTAAATTAAAGTTTATTTTTAATAGTTTAAAACAATTTAAAAACCACCAAAAACAATTACCTGTTTTTTTCATACGTGAACTGTAAACTGTTCTACTTTAACAGCTGTGAAAAAAAATTACATTCATCCTTTACTGACTCACCAATGGAACATAAACCACAGTTGCGTAACTGTTTATTATAGTATAATATTAATTTCTCCATAATATTTTCTGACACTGAGTTCTTTTTGTAAAAAGACTTATTTTTCTTATTTATCATTTTATGTAAAACGTATTTGTTAAAAAATAATTGTTTTTGATTAAGGCAGAATCTTCCATTCGTTATAATTAAAAATAATTCTTGGAAAAATATATAAACAAAAATGAAAAAAAGTGTTTGGTTAAAAAATTTAAAAATTTTGTAGTCCAGAACTCTCATTTTGAATCTACTCATGTATAAATTAATACAACTTCACGTCTGTACATCAAGGACTTTTTCTGATATCGGGCACAAGCTTAGGCCTGGTTGTGTTGCACATTGTGACATCGATGTTTCGTTATCTGTTAGATAACGTAGTGTTTGACGGAGATAAGAAAAGCTCAAATTCTTTTCATGGGAAAATTCTTTTACTTCCTAATCCCAGAGAAATTACTTTTCGAGACATACATAAAATACCTGAAGACTTAAGCCATTCAAAGGTTCTGAGGGATCAGTGCTATTTGAGAAGCGATATTAATTAATAACAATGAATAATCAGACGCTAATGTGCAGTGCTCGAAGGCCTAGAATAGCCAGTTTATAATTTTTACTCTAAAATAAACCATTCATTCATCTGTCATTGAAGATGCACGTGGACCATAAGAGAATAAACTGTAATTCTATTTTTATCCGATTAGTCTACTCGATCTTGTAAACGTCTCTAAAAATTCTGTGACGTACGTAATAATTTAACCAATCCTTAATTTGAGTTCGCATTTTATTTCCTTAAGACTTCCTTTAACTTCGAGTCCTCGAGCTCTCGACAGTGTCCGTGAAATCTGACAGTGGCTTCACTCTCTAGTAACTCGTCTGCCCCAAATTCACAATATTTCAGACGTGATTCTTTTGGAAAATTTTCAAAATGACTGTTACTTGCAACAATTATTTTTGATATAACGTTAGAAAAAAAAACACAAGATCCTGAAAGTTTAAACTAAGGCACTGTCACAACTTTAAATTTTGGTGGTATTAAGTTTGCGTTATTTCACAATAAATTTATCGAAAGTATTCATTACTTTTTTCATCATCGAAAATACCAGTGAAAATATTCAGGTTTACAGAACGGCAGAGTTAATTTACGAAGCAGAGAAACACCGACGTTTCAGAGGTCCTTGCTGCCTCCATCATCAGAGCGATGAGTCGTTAAACTTCTACCAGACTGCACGTCGCTACAACCCAGAAGACTTCAGACTCACCGCCGTGAAAACTTTAAATCCTACAGAGTAAAAAACTTGTTATAATCCCGTAACTCAAAGTCCCATTCACCAAATGTATAGTTTAAGCGCAATTACTTGATATCCGACAAATGAAACTGAATTTCTTTATCGCAACTCTCCTTTATATTGCAAATTTGACTAATGAGTCCATTAAGCAATTATTTTTGATATAACGTTAGAAAAAAAAACACAAGATCCTGAAAGTTTAAACTAAGGCACTGTCACAACTTTAAATTTTGGTGGTATTAAGTTTGCGTTATTTCACAATAAATTTATCGAAAGTATTCATTACTTTTTTCATCATCGAAAATACCAGTGAAAATATTCAGGTTTACAGAACGGCAGAGTTAATTTACGAAGCAGAGAAACACCGACGTTTCAGAGGTCCTTGCTGCCTCCATCATCAGAGCGATGAGTCGTTAAACTTCTACCAGACTGCACGTCGCTACAACCCAGAAGACTTCAGACTCACCGCCGTGAAAACTTTAAATCCTACAGAGTAAAAAACTTGTTCTAATCCCGTAACTCAAAGTCCCATTCACCAAATGTATAGTTTAAGCGCAATTACTTGATATCCGACAAATGAAACTGAATTTCTTCATCGCAACTCTCCTTTATGTTGCAAATTTGACTAATGAGTCCATTATTTATAAGCGATATAAACATTTAGACAGAGGAAGTGTTGGTTTTATACGAACAGAACTATCGATATATACCAACCCATTTCGAGCCCTGTTTACGTGTAAGTTCGTGTGAAACAAATCATTTTAGCCTCCAGAAGTCGAACTCCTTGATCATTAAATCTGAAATACAAGTCGTTCGTATGCCCGATCTTACCCATCTACAGGCACATATGGGAGGATAATATTAAAACAGATGTAAAAGAAATGATGAAGGGATTCATCTGGTGGAGGATAGGGTCCATGGATGAACACTGGTTTCGTTGAGGCGAGATAATTCTCAATTGCCTGAGAGATTCTTATCTTTTCAAGAAGTACAAATGCAACAAATCTGTAATATGATTTTATTTTAATTGTTTGTATTTTGTTATGAAGGAGATATTTCTTGCCGACATTCTGGCTAAATCTTCTCTCAACTATTTTTCATCATGCCAGATAAAACAAAATGTCGTCAGAGTATATTTCGTGACAATTATTCGTCTTTATTAATAGAAATTACAGCTTGGCTAGTTTTCTGAAATAAACTTCGCTTGCAAACTCTTAATTACGAGTTTCTTGCGGTAAATCCTCCTGTTATGATATCCACCCGCGTATACCACAAGCTGAATGAATCTATTTTTAATATTGTTGAGGTTACGAGGCGAATTATTCTATTAAAATTGTTCGATGGACAGAACCACTTATTAACGTCAACTGCGAACTCTCAAACTTCCGAAGTTTTCGTATTGAGTCCGTGACCTTGGTAAAGCAACTTCTGACCAACATTAAAAATAATAATTATTAACAAAAAATCATTAGTAACTAAACTAACCTCGTGTATCAGAGTCCATCTTGATAAGCTGACAGTCGTCCAGAAATTGTCCGCCTTTTATGAAACTGTAAAAGTCGCTGCCTTCTTCAGAAGGTAAAAATGTTGCGTCAACATATTATGAAATCCATTCAAATAAAACATTTCTGGGAAATAATCGGTGCTTACCGAAGGAAAAAGAATCAGTTTCGGGACTTATTTCTGCTTCAAATATCAAGCCAAATGCCGTTCAAGTGGGTGGTCATCGCAGTTGCAGTTTTACGAAGTACGAGGCGCGTCCTCAAAGTAAGTTTCCCACTCGTCCCACAGCTAGAAAACCTTATATTGCGCGAAGCCGGACAGCGAGTCTCCTGCAGGAGTTCAGCTGGGAGGTGTTTAATCATCCACCCTCCAGCCCGGACCTCGCTCCCAGTGATTTCCATCTTTTCCTACACCTCAAGAAATTCCTGTCCGGTCAGCGTCAGCGTTTTGAGAATGACAGAGAGGCGGAGATGGTTGTCACACAGTGGTTCCAATCCCAGGCGGCAGACTTCTACGACACAGGTATTCAAAAGTTGGTCCCACGGTATGACCAATGTCTCAATTCCGGTGGCGAATATGTTGAAAAATAGCTGGACACTTGCTGTATCAGTTGCAATAAATATTTCCATGAAATTGTGTTTTGTTTCTGTAAACGGCCCCAGGGAAACTTACTTCGAGGACGCGCCTCGTATTAACTTCCGTATTCTGCACGTACCGTGAGTCTACTTCGTGGGAGCGCTCTGATAATCTTTGTCCTTTCTTTTCCTCTGAGGTAGACTCCAGTATTTCTGCCCCATTCCAAAATGAGAGGCGTCCTGGACTGTTTCTGGAAGCTTCTGGTTCAATGTTTCTGGCAGGAGGGTGGCACAGGTGGCCCCTACGAGACACAGGACACTGAGAATCGCGTATGGATACCTGGGGTCAGCCACCGTTCCCTGCGAAAGCATTAACCCACGTACCAACATCAACTTGAACTTTTTGAAATTTTGTGACATAACTTTATTAATTTAAAGTTTTACATCCAACAACTGAAGGGCGGTATATTTACAGGCCAAACGCGTTTCGAACCCAAGGGGTCATCTTCAGTGGGAAATCAATCAGTAGCACACGATGCTACATTTAAAGAATAATATTTCTTTTATAGAGATAAAAATACCAATTCTAACTTGAGAAATTGTTATGGAACAATACATTTCGTAGCACACGATGCTACATTTAAAGAATGATATTTCTTTTATAAAGATAAAAATACCAATTCTAACTTATGCAATTGTTATGGAACAATACATTTATCATTAGATATAAAAGAATATTTTAAAATATTATTAGAACTGCGTGACGAGCAGTTCGGGCTGTGACCGAGAGACAGCGCGTCGTTGAAAGAGACATTGACCAAGAAACGGTCTACAAATCCACAAGAAACACACCACAGGGTACACGATTGTCTCCAAGAAGGCAGTAGATATTTTATTCATCTTCAGTGAAGTTTTTCTACGTAAAAGAATCGAAACAACATTTTTATAAACACCGTTGTTATTAGGTTTGCGTTGGAACACCCTGTAGCTGTGATCCGCCTCTAACAGAGACTGAACAACTTTTTGTTGGCCTTCGACTTTGTTCACGTGTAAACAGTTCCTGTCAGCCAAGTGCCGTGTTCCTGAGACTGCAAATCTCCACTCCGGCACTGGCGAACTTGTTTTCCGTCGTTATACATGAAGTCAGGAGAAATTATAATACGTAAGAATTTTCCATCAGCCATCCAAAGCCCCCGAAACGTATTCTACGTTGGTTACAGAACGACAGTAGCGACTTCTGGCTTAAATTACTGCGTAACCATTTACATGATTTTACTCAGGATCTGTGAGAGAGAGAGCATTTAAGTCATGCAAAGTTACGAGTTTCAAAACTCGGTCTGATGACAAGGGATTCTTTACGTGTTCTGTAAAATTGATGATTTCTCTGTTGCTTAATTTTATTATCAGACGTGACAAAATTATTTCAAAGACCCTTTCTGTTTCAGGCATATTAAACGATAAATTTACGTAATACCAACTCATTAACCTCCGAAATCAATTTCATTACTTTTCTGCATCCACACACGTTGAAATTCACGAAATTTTAACTACAAATCGAGTTTCTTTCTCTACGAAAACCCATGTTCAGTATAAAATAACAACTCTCATCGTATATTTTTGCTAAAACACCTAAAAGAATTAGGTTATGTGACCTTTAAGGATAAAGTAGTACAAATATTTACCACTAGAAGGCACGGGAATCGGCGCTTTCCTGCCCTGAAAACTCTGATGTTTACGAATTCAAGATTCTCGACTTACCAGGTACACGATGTATGGACCCAGAGCGCCGAGGGCGTTTGCGATGAGGAAGCCGACGGAAGTCCCCGTCTGCCGAAGACACGTCGGATAGAGCTCCATGCACTGGAGGTAGGAGCTGTAGGCGGCTACCGTGAGGGAGAGCTTTACTACGAGGACCATCGCGACCAGAAGCCACAGCAAGTGTTCGTCTGAAACAGGAAGACGGCTGCCTGTGGGATTTCTGGGATCCACGAGTGTCGGCGAATACATTTAATCGGTCATTACTTCGTGTTCTTTGAAGAATTCTTCGTACAAGAGACGGCCTTAATTCTGTTCCGACAAAAGCCGTGGTTTCGTACGTCCATTTTAAGTGAGCATTCTTTTTGTTTTAAAAATATTTACATTTTGTTATGAGACTCACTGAAAAGACTTTTTTAAACTCGGAAGTTCTCGAATCAATTTTCCACGAAAAGACTCTCCTTAATCAGACTCAATCTTGTTTTTCCTCAGTATCTCCCGAGGCAGTAGCCTGTTATTTCCCGGATCCTTTTAAGGTCGCCGTATAATTCGACGCCAGTGAACAGCTCGAATGACCCGAAATTTCGACATCCATTTGCGTCCATTTTATACGTGGGTGATTGGGTGATTGGGGGAGGAGGGGATACTCACGCACGACAGTGATGAGGCACGCCACCTGGAAGCAGCCTGCAAACACGAAGGCCCCGGCTTGGCTCCAGCGTCTTCCCAATCGGTCGCAGAGTGCCCTGCCTATCAGGAAACCTGGCAACTCGATCAGGGATTGAAGCAGGAAGTTGAGGAACGGGTTGCCCGACATTCCAGCCACGCTCAGTACAATCGTGTAGTACAGAATCTGCGTGAGTGTTCTGTAAGAGAAGAATTACAACCTCGCAAATCGGAATGATTTTTCATTCTTCGTCAATTTCGTAAAACCGAAAGGCCCATTTGGTAGGAGAAAGTGGGCACGTGGTGTAGAAGGGAGAGATACTTTCTCTGTCAGGAAAAAAAAAAATTCAGTCGTCCAGTCGGAAGCCTGAGTAAAATTTTCGAAAATCTAAATAAATTCTCAAGACTTTTAAAAAAAAACTTTGAAATCTCTTGGACCCCTTTTAATTACGTCTATTTTGGGTATCAAGGCGCGGTTGTGGACCACAGAAATGTTTTACTCGTCCATCACAATTTCTTCTCGAAATATACGTAATTTGACATTCGTCGCAACTGAACGACTGGATGACCTGATTCAATAGTGGTTAGTTTTTCGTCGGAAAGTTTTTTGATAAATGAACTGTTCATTGCCTTGACAACAAAAAATTATAAGATCCTAAAGAATATCATTTTTTAATGTACGCGTAATTTTCCAAAATGACTTTTTCAGTTCAAGTTCATATCCATGTTCTGTCCGCATTTCTTATCTCCCTCACGTTCATTAAATCAAAGAATTGTATCATCTTCCGTCAATACGTGAATTATGTTGAACTCGTCGCATTTACTCTGCGACGTCTCGTGTTCTTACAAGGACAAGGAGATGAGAATCGTGTTCTTCATGAGCCTCTGGTTTGCGAACAGAGTCGCCACTCCGTACACCGTCTCCTTCCTTTCGGCGAGTTCCTTCAACTTCACCAGGGCATTGTCGGGCAACGTGGTTCCGTTCTTATCGGCGATGTAATTCAGCACTTCGAGGCACTTCTCCGACTTTCCCTTTGCCGCGAGCCATCTTGGAGATTCAGGAAACTGTCTGCAGAAGAAGGATCATTGGAGATGTCTGTCTTCGAAAAGATTATTTTTCGGTTAAAACAATTTCGTGTCCTGACTTCAGGAAACGATGGATAGACGACGTGGAGGAGAATGTGAGGACGATGGGAGTTGAGAAGAATTGTGAATGATAGGACAGAATTGATAAAACTCGTGGAACAAGCTACAGGATTATAACGCTATAAGAAGTTCCTATGAACATGGGATCGCAAATGTTTCATTTTCGAAATAACAGCCAAAAATAAGTTTCAATGAACTGACTTTATATCAAAGTGAATCCAGCTTCCAGCAAAGATTTTCAATTTGGGCAGGAATTGTTTCCGACGTGCTTATTGGTCCACACAAGCTTCGATCGCGTCTAAGAGGACCTTCAGATCGGCGATGCTTAAGAAGACACTTGCCACGCCTCCCTGAAGATGTCCCACTGAATACAAGAAGACAAATGTGGTTTATGCACGTCAGAGCCCCAGCAAACTTCTCCCATCGCGTCAGATATCGTCTCAATGAACAGAACCCTCAGCGAGGGATTGGGCGTGGTGGCCACCGAGGTCACCGGACCTGACTCCGTTGGACTTTTATCTGTGGGGTCACTTGAAGTCCGTCGTTTATGCAACGCCCATGAACAATGAAGACGACCAATGGGAACGCGTGCAGATGATTCGAGGAAACTCTGGGGTGTTCGAACGAATTCGTGAGTCGTGTGTACGTCGTGCTCGTGCGTGTGTGGAGAACGGAGGAACAACCTTTGAGCATCTGTTATAAAGAAACATCCCTGTCCTTATACTTGGCAATAAAGGCAGACATTGGAAAATATTTTTGGTTTTGAGTTCTCTAAACTAAAGACGACTTGTCATTGACCTGAAGGCAAGGAAGACAGCGGCACATGGCACAGATGTCAGCACCATGAACAGCTTCCACTCGCCACCAGTCGCCCAGGCGACCATAGGCATCACACACATCCCTGAGGTCCAGCCTACGAACTGTAACATCGTTAGCAGGGCCCGCTGAGAGGCAGACGATATCTCCATGCCTGCAACGCAAAGCCACAGTCAGCTTCTGTGGCGCCGAGGGATGTTGCCTAGACCTACAGGAAGCAACAAAACCTTCTCCACCCTTGTACAGGCTGTTTCCGAAGTAAGTAGTCTATTAATTCTGAAAATTACAAAAATAGAGCGAAACAGCTTGGTATGAATATCTTCGAAATGCGAACTAATCTTGCAAAATGAATGTCATTTTCGTGTTTAAAAGCTCAAAATTAGTAAAAATTTGACTTCTGACACGAGAGGTGAAAGACAGGGTTACCTCCTCAATACGCAATTCTTTTTTATCTGCTTCGAACGAGGAACTTGCAAAAGATCGGCGCCATTTCACCCCCTGCTTCGACCACAGACCCCACAAAAAGCTTGGGCTATTTTACCTATGATGAGCGGGGACTGGAATACGACGGAAATCGGTAGACTCGCGACGAAATTGGCCAAGAGGAAGACGACGTAGGTGCCAGCGGTGAAGGCGACGACGCACCTTCCGAGGACAAGCGTCGCCACTCCCAGGAAGAGCACAGGTCGACGACCGATCCTGAAACGTCGAGGGCCCATAAATGAAGTCCACTTGTTAGCCATAAGGCCTATGGTTAACGCACGAAACAACAACACGTCACAGGATGGAGGCAGATTCCAGTTTACGTAACGTCGTTTCCAAAATTAAAATTAGGACGACGACTAATGCCTTAGATACGCTTCTCTGCGTCATTTGAAATAATTAAGACGATGCTTCTAAGGAAATAAAGTAATTAATTAATTAATGAAACTAAATTAATAAATCAGACTAAATCGAAATCAACGAATTTGGCCACGAGTGCACTGAATGAATTTCCAGAAGTCAGCGAAATCTAAAGACTCAAAGCCTTCGAGGTCGATCTTGAAGACCCTACTTAAGATTTACACCAATTAAACATTTCGTAATATATTTTTCTGGTATTAACTAATAATTCGCCAACCAATCAGGACTGGCCCTGGTAACTTCAACAGGCACTTCATATACTGATGGCGTCAAAACGTTTCGAAAACATTGCGATTTCCATCTTCAAGGTCACTGTACACCGAAAGAAAATGGAATGTTCTTTCAAAATATTACAGCAGTTTCGATACACAAAAATAAATTCATCCGACAGACGACCTTCAATGTAGACTGAGAATACCAAATTTGATGGAGATCTGAACTTACGTGTCACCCAATTGCCCGAAGACAAGTGTGCCCACGACTTCGCCCACCCTGGCGACGAGCAACGTGTTGGGCACGTACACCTCCTTCTCGCAGACCCAGTCCTCCTGCGACGGAGCCGTCAGTGAATACCACGTCGTGTCGTAATCCCAGCCATGCCGACAGCTCTCTGAGGGCAGGCCAGGAGTGCGGGGTTATTCTTGTGGGAGAAAGTCCTCGCCGTGCGTTTCTTGAAACTACAGAGGCGCTTATCCGGCAAGCAATCGAACTAATCGACGACAGTATCCTAACCTAACCTAACCTAACTTAACCCAACCTAACCAAACTCAAACTAACCCAACCCAACCTAACCTAACCCAACCTAACCTAACCTAACCTAACCTAACCAAACTCAAACTAACCCAACATAAATTTCCCTCAACTAACCTAACCTAACGTTTACCTAACCCAAACTAACCTAACCTAACCAACCCCAACCTAACCTAACCTAACCAACCCCAACCTAACCTAACCTAACCTAACCTAACCTAACTCAACCTAACCGAAGCTATTCTAAACTTCCCTCAACTAACATAACCTAACTTTTACCTAACCCAACTTAAACTAAACTAACATAACCAAAACGAATCTAATCTAACTTAACCTAACCTAACCAAACTCAAACTAATCCAACCTAACCTAACCTAACCTAACCTAACCTAACCTAACCTAACCTAACCTAACCTAACCTAACCTAACTCAACCTAACCGAAACTATTCTAAACTTCCCTCAACCTAACTAATATGGCGAACGTAGCTGAAATAACTGATTAAAAGTAACGACAACAATAAAATATTTGTCAGTAAAATGCTAGACGAAGACGAAGTTTGCCCTGACTTGCGAAATATTAAATGCACTCAGGCAGACACAACTGGAACAAAACAAAGACTTACCAGTGTCTTTGAAAACCGCGTTACTCAGATTCTGAGGTGTCTGTACGTCGACTGGAAAACTGAGGTTGTACATACTGCATTTGCTGAAAGAATCTTCCGAATTTTCGACTCTGAAATTTACAAATTTCGTTTCAATTCTAAATTCTTGTTACAGAAATTTAGGGGAGCCAGCTAAATCCATTTTATGAGTTTGTTTCTTAGGCGGACCATGCACAGAGTAAACCAGGAGCATTAAGTCGATTTGAGGGAACTGGAAACCGTGATTTAATCCGTGGCGAAACGCGACTTTCTCAAAAGTCCCAAGATGTGGGAGAGGGCGTTTATATACGTCGTACAGTACTGTTACAAATTTTTCAGCTCAACATTTAATAAATCTAAGGAATGAAATACAAGATAAAAAAATGGTATACTATTGAGCTAGTCTTTTTAAATTACGCCTTGTAGGGCCTAACTCTGTTTCATATGATAATTTTTTTACAGTGGCAATGAGTCACAAGGGTTCATATAATTTTCCAAGCTTCAAGAATCAAGTTCAAAGTTGTCATAAATGGCCCCTCTTCGAACCAAGGAGAGACGCTGGCTCGTGGTAAGGCCGCAGTCACATTTGAAGCAGTCAAATGCTTCAACATGACTAAAATATTACTTCCTAAAAACTTTGAAGAATGAATGAGATTTCCACGGCTCTGAGTCCTAAGATGGCCGTCTTCTGGGTTCCTGCGCCGTGTAGTCCTGTAGAAGTTTACCGACGTTTCGGAGGTCCTTGCTGCCTCCATCATCAGGGCGATGACTCTTCCGAGTTCTTTGTATATCGGCTGTCGCGGGTGTTAAGTTCTAAGTAGGCCGCGTTTGTTTTCTGTGTCATTTTGAGAACGTAAACTTCTTTTGTGCTCACTCTGTACAAAAATGTTCACGTTCACGAAGGTTCTACCCCAAAAAAACTAGCAAAGTATTTGAAAAACCACTGCAATATCATTGTTAAATGAATTTGCGTGGTTTCAGAAGAGACTTCCGGTTATAAATTAGGCTTCAGCGTGATGTTTTAGAAGGGCTGATCATGTCACAGTATTTAACTCAAGGGACCACGAAAATCTATGGAAGATCAGAGTTGTCGGATATAAGTGACGACTTTCTGATGATGACGTATCATTAAGTGAAAAAAAACTCACGTTGTATCGTACCTTGGCACTGTAAGACTCTTCCATTCTGCTACTGTGTAGTTAGTTTTATTTCTGCCCGGTACGTGGCACCAGTGGGTTGGCAGTGTGACGGCCAGTATGAGGTTAAAGGACGGCATTGCTACTGTGAGGACAAACGCCATGTTGAAGATCAGGTTGAACCAGAACTGGAATCTCCCGTCCATCCCAACGTGTTCCATGAGCTCATCAAATATATCTTCTTCTTCTTCTTCTTCTTCACACTTTTCCTTTAGCTCTGATCGTTCCATTGTTGTAGATTTGAATCTAGTCTGAAACTTTAAAAGAACGAGAGAAATTCAAAAAGACAGCTGCATTGTTTATTAAAAAAAATGGAATGTGGATCTACGAGGTGCGATCGGAAAGTTTATAGACTGCGCGTATAAAAACCCGTACACTTATCTCAGGTATTAAATTCATCCGTCACCCTCGAAGTAGTTCCCCTGGGAGTGAACACAACGATCCCAGCGCCGCTGCCAAGCCTGGAAGCATCCCTGGAAATCTTTCTTTGTCAGCCTGTCAAGCACCATCTGCGATTCTGCCTGAATCTCTTC